CTCGCGTAAAATAAATACGAGCGGGAATAAGGCGAAAGATACAGAACCTCTGGCAACCAGGGTATGACTTCAAAGGATTGAAACGAGACTATACCTCTGAGTTATTCAAGGCCTGAGTACTAGTCGTCATTCTTGTGGTGGATGACACAGGTTATCATCCTCGTCTGCACTCATTCGATGCTTTATAAAGCGATGATGAAACCAGGATCAGTTTTCTGCCAATCCGATCACTAACACACATGGGCAGTGTTGGTAGAAGTCGATTCTTGTTCCGTCATGTACTGCGTTGCATTGCATTAATTTCCATTGCGTTGCATTGCACAAATTGTTATCCATTCATTACAATTCCCGATTTCTCCTCACAGCAACCAGGGCGACCAGAAAGGACGGGTTGTGTTCATAAAATGACAAATTTAAAAACAAATTTAGCGCCAAAATACCCTAAATACTTTATGCACTTATCTCTCTACTAATTTAACCCTGGGGGCTTCGGTGGCCAAGCGGTTAGCGCACTTGACTTTCACCTCTGAGCTCGCAGGTTCAAACCTCAGTGAGAACTTTCTCAATGCGACTAGACCCAAGCCTCACGCAAAAGATTAGTCAAAAGTCAACGCTCTGCCGAAAGTCGTGGACTTTCTCCCGGCATTCCGGATTCCTCCCACAGGGAAAGCTGACAGGGTGGGTTAGGCACATATATAGGTCAGGGGGCATTTACAACTGAAACATGCAGCGCGCGCGGCCAACCCACTCACCAATCTGATCCTTTGTCGAACTAATTCAACAAGACGTTGAGGCGAATTCAAACCACGCGCGCACCTAGCCGAAACTATCGTGCATGCTATCCTGTATTAAAATTTCAACCATTTACAACTGAAACATGCAGCGCGCGCAGCCAACCCTCTCACCAATCTGATCCTTTGTCGAACTATTAATTCAACAAGACGTTGAGGCGAATTCAAACCACGCGCGCACCTAGCCGAAACTCTCATGCAACTGTATTAAAATTTCAACCATTATAAAGTTTATAAGGCAAAATGAAATTACGTCCTCAGCTGAAACTCTCGTACATGCAACTGTGCTAAAATTAGAACGATTTCAAAGTTGACCTATCTCTGTAATTGCAAACTGACAATGTGAGAAATAAAGATTAAACTTACCGTCAGATATTTCAGCGTGTTAATTTCGGCCACACATCAGTATAAAAAAAAAAAAAAACATAGTCAAGGAAAAACCATGATATCGAAACCTCTCATCCAACTGTATTTTAAATTTCAACCATTATAAAATTCATACGGCAAAAATAATAAACTTGCGTACGCAGCCGAAACAATCATTCATGCTACTGTATTAAAAACATGCAACGCGCACGGCCAATCCTCTCACCAATCTGATCCTTTGTCGAACTAATTCAACAAGACGTTGAGGCGAATTCAAACCACGCGCGCACCTAGCCGAAACTATCGTGCATGCTATACTGTATTAAAATTTCAAACATTTACAACTGAAACATGCAGCGCGCGCAGCCAACCCTCTCACCAATCTGATCCTTTGTCGAACTAATTCAACAAGACGTTGAGGCGAATTCAAACCACGCGCGCACCTAGCCGAAACTCTCACGCATGCTACTGTATTAAAATTTCAACCATTTACAACTGAAACATGCAGCGCGCGCGGCCAACCCTCTCACCAATCTGATCCTTTGTTGAACTCATTCAAGAAGACGTTGAGGCGAATTCAAACCACGCGCGAACCCTAAACTCTCATGCAACTGTATTAAAATTTCAACCATGCATTTTGTAAGTTTATAAAGCAAAATGAAATTGCGTCCGCAGCCGAAA